GCTTTATGGATGCGAAACATGGAAGGTTACGCGTGGTCTCATGGATCGCCTACAGGTGTTTGTTACAACAAGTGTCTTCGAAGAATATTGAGAATTTTCTGGCCCAATCAAATTAACAACGAAGAACTGTGGAGAAGAACATCACAAAATCGAATAGATATCGAAATTAAGAAAAGAAAGTGGGGCTGGATTGGGCACATTTTGCGCAGACCCCACTGAGATATCGCTAGACAGGCACTTGAATGGAATCCACAGGGAAGACGTGCCAGGGGAAGACCAAGGAATACCTGGAGAAGAACAGTAACCTCTGAAGCCCAAGAGGTCGGGAAAACATGGGGAGAGATCAAACAGACAGCTCAGAATAGGATCAGATGGAAACATCTCTTAGAAGCCCTATGTCCCACGAGGGATGACGGGAACATATATATATATATATATATATATATATATATATATATATATATATATAAATATATCTAAATAAAATATATATATATCTGATATGTAAATCTGACTGTCCTGACTGATACTGACTCATCAACGCCCATGCCCAAACCCTTGACCCTAGAAAGCTGAAATTTTGCACAGGGGTTCCTTTTATGATGTTTTACGTAAGATAAGAAAGGATTTTTAAAAATTCATCCCCTAAGGGGGGGTAAAAGGGGGGTGGAATATTACAATATTTTTTATTTAAAAACGGTCAAGTTTCCGAAAAAACGCTGAAACACGTATATTTTATTTTCTTTTTTACATATTTTCAGATTTTTTAAAAATGTATACAGGGTGTTTCGAAAATCTGGTCATTGATTAATCACGATCCTGCTTAAAGCGCTTGACGTAAAAAGCTGATTTTTGGAAAACGGATTGACTTTAGGGTGTAGAGATTCGATAAGAAGGATTTTTCGAAACTCAAATTCTAAAGGGGTGAAACCGCCCCTCAAATATTAGAATATTTTTATTTAAAAACGGTCAAGTTTCCGAAAAAAACGCTTGAACACGTATATTTTATTTTCTTTTTTTTACATATTTTAAGATTTTTTAAAAATGTATACAGGGTGTTTCGAAAAATTGATTAATTGGTCATTGATTAATCACGATCCTGCTTAAAGCGCTTGACGTAAAAAGCTGATTTTTGGAAAACGGATTGACTTTAGGGTGTAGAGGTTCTATAAGAAGGGATTTTTCGAAACTCGAATTCTAAGGGGGTGAAACCGCCCCTCAAATATTAGAATATTTTTATTTAAAAAACGGTCAAGTTTCCGAAAAACGCTTGAACACGTATATTTTATTTTCTTTTTTACATATTTTAAGATTTTTAAAAAATGTATACAGGGTGTTTTCGAAAAATTGATTAATTGGTCATTGATTAATCACGATCCTGCTTAAAGCGCTTGACGTAAAAGCTGATTTTTGGAAAACGGATTGACTTTAGGGTGTAGAGGTTCTATAAGAAGGGATTTTTCGAAACTCGAATTCTAAGGGGGTGAAACCGCCCCTCAAATATTAGAATATTTTTATTTAAAAACGGTCAAGTTTCCGAAAAACGCTTGAACACGTATATTTTATTTTCTTTTTTATATTTTAAGAATTTTTAAAAATGTATACAGGGTGTTTCGAGAAAATTGATTAATTGGTCATTGATTAATCACGATCCTGCTTAAAGCGCTTGACGTAAAAAGCTGATTTTGAAAAACGGATTGACTTTAGGGTGTAGAGGTTCTATAAGAAGGGATTTTTTCGAAACTCGAATTCTAAGGGGGGTGAAACCGCCCCTCAAATATTAGAATATTTTTATTTAAAAACGGTCAAGTTTCCGAAAAAACGCTTGAACACGTATATTTTATTTTCTTTTTTTACATATTTTAAGATTTTTTAAAAATGTATACAGGGTGTTTCGAAAAATTGATTAATTGGTCATTGATTAATCACGATCCTGCTTAAAGCGCTTGACGTAAAAAGCTGATTTTTGGAAAACGGATTGACTTTAGGGTGTAGAGGTTCTATAAGAAGGGATTTTTCGAAACTCGAATTCTAAGGGGGTGAAACCGCCCTCAATTAGAATATTTTATTTAAAAACGGTCAAGTTTCCGAAAAAAACGCTTGAACACGTATATTTTATTTTCTTTTTTTACATATTTTCAGATTTTTTAAAATGTATACAGGGTGTTTCGAAAAATTGATTAATTGGTCATTGATTAATCACGATCCTGCTTAAAGCGCTTGACGTAAAAAGCTGATTTTGGAAAACGGATTGACTTTAGGTGTAGAGGTTCTATAAGAAGGGATTTTTCGAAACTCGAATTCTAAGGGGTGAAACCGCCCCTCAAATATTAGAATATTTTATTTAAAAAACGGTCAAGTTTCGAAAAAACGCTTGAACACGTATATTTTATTTTCTTTTTACATATTTTAAGATTTTTTAAAAATGTATACAGGGTGTTTCGAAAAAATTGATTAATTGGTCATTGATTAATCACGATCCTGCTTAAAGCGCTTGACGTAAAAAGCTGATTTTTGGAAAACGGATTGACTTTAGGGTGTAGAGGTTCTATAAGAAGGGATTTTCGAAACTCGAATTCTAAGGGGTGAAACCGCCCCTCAAATATTAGAATATTTTTATTTAAAAAACGGTCAAGTTTCCGAAAAACGCTTGAACACGTATATTTTATTTTCTTTTTTTACATATTTTAAGATTTTTTAAAAATGTATACAGGGTGTTTCGAAAAATTGATTAATTGGTCATTGATTAATCACGATCCTGCTTAAAGCGCTTGACGTAAAAAGCTGATTTTTGGAAAACGGATTGACTTTAGGGTGTAGAGGTTCTATAAGAAGGGATTTTTCGAAACTCGAATTCTAAGGGGGCGAAACCGCCCCTCAAATATTAGAATATTTTTATTTAAAAAACGGTCAAGTTTCCGAAAAGACGCTTGAACACGTATATTTTATTTTCTTTTTTACATATTTTAAGATTTTTAAAAATGTATACAGGGTGTTTCGAAAAATTGATTAATTGGTCATTGATTAATCACGATCCTGCTTAAAGCGCTTGACGTAAAAAGCTGATTTTTGGAAAACGGATTGACTTTAGGGTGTAGAGGTTCTATAAGAAGGGATTTTTCGAAACTCGAATTCTAAGGGGGTGAAACCGCCCCTCAAATATTAGAATATTTTTATTTAAAAAACGGTCAAGTTTCCGAAAAAACGCTTGAACACGTATATTTTATTTTCTTTTTTTACATATTTTAAGATTTTTTAAAAATGTATACAGGGTGTTTCGAAAAATTGATTAATTGGTCATTGATTAATCACGATCCTGCTTAAAGCGCTTGACGTAAAAAAGCTGATTTTGGAAAACGGATTGACTTTAGGGTGTAGAGGTTCGATAAGAAGGGATTTTCGAAACTCGAATTCTAAGGGGTGAAACCACCCCTCAAATATTAGAATATTTTTATTTAAAAACCGGTGAGTTTTTCGGAAAAACTCTTAAACATGTATATTTTATTTTGTTGTTTTACATATTTTAAGGTTTTTTTAAAATTTATACAGGGTGTTTCATAAAATATAACCATTGAGTAATCACGATTCTACTTAAACTGCTTGACGTTTAAAGCTGATTTTGGCAAACGGATTGACTGTGGGGTGTAGAGGTTCGATAAAGAGGGGTTTTCGAATTTCAAATTCCAAGCGGGTGAAAACGACCCACAAATATTACAATATTTGTTTTTAAATACGGCGAGCCTTTCGGGAAAACACTTGGACACGCATAATTGATTTTGTTTTTTTACATATTTTGAAATTTTTTAAAAAATCATACAGGGTGTTCCAAAAAGTTGGGTAATTGATTAATCACGATTCTGCTTAAACTGCTTGACGTAAAAAGCTTATTTTTTGATTTTTCGAAAGTCAAATTCCAACGAGATGAAACTATCCCTCAAATATTATACCAAGTTATATAATAATATCGCCATATTGTTTTTTCTCATGCTGACATAAATGTAAGAAAATTTTATCTTAGTTTGTATGTTAATGGAAATTCTTGCTTTGCTTGATCATCACCATTACAAATGATTAATCCGACGCGAACGAAGTCGCGGGTACACACTAGTATATATATATATAAATCTTTTCTAAAAGATTTAAGTCTTTTGTAAAAGATTTAAGTCATTAAAAACACAAGTCATTTTGAAAATGACTTAAACTTTAAGTCTTAAGTTAGCTTTCGAAATATGACTTAAAATCAAATGATTTAAGTCATTAAAATGATTTAGGTCAAAAAAAGACTTAAGTTTTCTATGAGCTTGCAGCTCTGTTTTCTACGAGTCCTTATGAAAATCAAAAAACGAAAAATATGCAATAGGAGGGCGCCATCAGTCGTCTATCCGACGCGACGGTGCATAAATGTTTTTTTTAGAATTGAAGGGTTTGGTAGATATTCTAAAAAAAAACTTTTAAATATTTTCCCGGCAAATATCGAGCTTTTTTCACTTATTCCGATTTGAAAGATTTTTGGGCGTTAATTGATTAGTTAAAATTTTTAGTATATACAGTTTGTCAAAAAGTACATATAGCGTAAGAGAAGAAATAAAAACCAATTTTTTCATTTTCGGCAATTTTTGTAAAATACAACATAACCTAAAAAGGGGGTCAAATTGCCTTTAGAATTCTCACATTAACGTTTTCTAACCGTATCAGGTGAGAAAAGTCCAGGAAATCGAGAATCGAAATCTGTCAAATTAAATATCTCGAAAACTGTGGATTTTCGAAACACAGTTTAAATGGGGCGAATATAGAGCTCCTAACCAGAGAAGAACATTGTTCTTCTCTGTCCTAACTATATCCGTAGAGGCTTCACTCGTTGTTTAGCTAGTTACCTTTTCCGAGAGGAAAAACCTTATTTTTATTTACAGCTTTATTTATTTTTTCTGCTGAATTTAATGTAGCGACCAAATGTACAATAAATAAAATGTAATGTTAAACCCTTCAATAATAAAAGAATGTATTGTTAAACCCTTCAAATATAGTTTATTTATAGATAAAAATAAAATACAGAGAAATATTTCTTATATGCTTACAAAAATTAACAAATACATATTAACGCATAAAAGGTTAGTAATTATTTATACACACTTAAAGTATATTGTATCATTCATCTAAGTTAATATTTACTTATTTATATCTAAACTATTTCATATTTATCTGGGTATAGAGCTGATTCAACGGAATATTTAACTGGAGAATCATCATCAACTGATAAAACATCAATGATCTGAAACATAATGCTTATTATACCAAATTATCGAAAAAAAAAGGTGTCTAGGACAGGTGGGGAATGACAATCGATGATAATTTTGGCGAGGTTAAGCCGTAGACGTCATTTACTTTTTAAAGATAATTAATTTTACTCTAATTCATTAAAATGAAATTCAATGCAGTAAACACCTTTAAGAATAAAGACAAAGAAGAGAAGAAAGTGGAGAAAGACCCCAACCTAACATTAACCCGTCTATGATAGTTAAGATTTTTGCATTAGTGTTCTGTTAAAATGTACTGAATATCGTTTTATGATTAATTTGTAGACTGGGCCCTCCAGATTTACTAATATCTAGCAGCAAACAGAAATGTATGTTCTATACCAGTGAAGTAACTCGTTAGCAGATGGATGGTGTTTTTTTTACCATACTTGAAAGTATGATTTTAAATTCGATCTAAGTAAAATGAGATTATATACACAATTCTGTCTGTTATTACTTCTTTACTTACAGAATAACTTCCCTTATTTATGCCCTCCAAGACACTATATTAAATTGGCAAAACTATATCGAATAACAAATCTTTTACACAGATGATTTAAGGAAAATAAAATAGGTACCGTCGTTTGGGGCGAAATTGATCTCCGGGGGTGAGACTGATCACTAGGTTGCATTTTTATTTATTCAAATGTAGAGCGCGAATCGTCGTTTCGTTTAATGTTAAACCGCCAAGTGTGTTTATTGGAAACGTGACCGAAGAGAATGTGTACAGGTCACGTCGTTAAATCGCTGTTTTTTGTCTAAAAAATACATTCAAATTGTTTAACTGTTTTTGCTTTCATTTACAACTTCTAGAACTTTGACACACTGATTACATGGCGCTATTTGTTAATGTTTCTGCAAGTCATATTCCGAAATTTAGTTATTTTCGATAGTGAATTATCAGGTTATACTTTAATTTGTTCGAAGGGGTCAGATTAATCGCTTTAGTACGGGCGAGATTGATCGTCGAATGATCAATCTCACCCCGTGAACAATCTCACCCTGCGTGTTAATTGTGGTAAAACAAGAAAGAACTGTTGGTATTTCTGTCTTGTTTTTGATTCAGAAAATAAATATTTAGTTTGAAAGTCTAATCTTGTATTTTTTTACATCGCAGCAATAATTATTTTTCATTGATCATTCTCACCCGCACCAAACAATCTCACCCCAAATGCAAAAGAATCTATAAAATTTAAACCATGACTTTAAAATAGACAGGGGTTAGATTAATCAGTTTCTATGTAGGTATACGCTTATTCAATGCATTAAATAAAACGTGATCAATCACACCCCACACGTAGTATACACCCCAAACGACGGTACTACAGAAGTCATCAACATTTGCCAATTTCGACTATGGACTATGCAGGAATTTATGGTTTTTGCTAAAATGCCATATATGTAATTCAATCTGTTATTTAATTTGAGTATTTTTAGACTCCTAAACGTAACTAGTAATGGATTGTAAGAAACATTCTGTAATATGTGCCACTAAATTGATCATACTGTAACAAGTTCTTGCTCTAGATACTTTAGGTAGCATTTATATAATTTCATAAGATCTTATTAATATTTTTATTTGAATGGAGATTTTTGCTTTGCTATAACGTTTAATGAAACTAAGAATTATAGAGTTTATCACGTCATGTAATAATAATTGTAATATATAATTTATATATATATATATATATATATATATATATATATATATATATATATATATATATATATATATATATATATATATATATATATATATATATATATATATATATATATATATATAATTTATTTTTTCTCGTAACAATAAATACAATATAAATTTATAATCCCAGTTTACTTTAAAATACATTTTTTACATATAATCAATTTACAATTTTGCTGTTTGTTTCTTTAAAAAAAATAAAAAGTTAATGAAGTTTTAATTAAAATATGAATCTTATGGACTGTAAAAAAACTTATGGATTGAAATTTAAATACGTATGGTAAAGCCTGGTAAACTAACGCAAACTTATTCGCTTAAAAAGGTTGTAATTTATTTTTAAATTGTGTAAAAATCTTCTGCTTTTTAAATGGTGTAGTTTAAAATTCGAGATTTTTTTTTTTTGGAAATAGATTTGTGCGTCTGGAAACGTTCTATTCCATTTTAATCTTCCTATAATTAATGTTAATTTTTAACAAGGTTTATGTCAATTTTTAGTAAATAACCTATAGAGATTGACCTCGCCAAAATTATCATCGATTGTCATTACCGAGCTGTCTTTGACGCCGTACTTTGTACATGGTGTAAGAACTGATTAAAAATTATGCAGTTTGTATCTACTGTTTCATTTTTATTCTGTTACTAAATAAAAATACAGTATATTAAACATGTAAAAAGTAGCAAGCTAACCATATTAGTATTTCTTTTTTAATATTTCCTTAAATTATAAGGTACAAAATCTTCAAAATATATTTTTTTTAGATAGAATTGGAAACATTGTATTGGTGGACTAAATATATACACACATATCTGAAAAAGATGGAGATACAGATACGTGGCAATAGCTATTCCTTTATTTTACCGCTTCCTTATATTTTTTTTTAAATCATACTATTTAGAAATCAAATCAATCATTGTACCAAAAATATATAACAGACAAGAATAACATTATGATACTGCATTTAAATAGTGTATCCATTACCTTAATACTGGCATATGAAGTTCTTGATGTAAATGAAACTGTTAAAGGGAAAAAGTCATCTGGGATAGATTTTGCAACTGTAAATTCTAAAGATCCAGTTTTATTGTTGGCGTCTATTAATGGCAAGTTCCAGATAAGTTGAGTACGTCTCTGTTCATGGATATAAGTACCATCGCATTCGCCCACAACGGGAGTAGAACCAATACTAAAGATATAAACAGTGACTAAGTAATAGTTATTAAATATAACGTAGTTAAATATAAAGTTGCATACAACTTACGGTAACGGAATATTAATATTAACATCAGTTAATTCCAAATTAAGGTGGGCAAGTTCATATTCGATATTTACATCACATCCGCCATCACCGGATTCTGAAGGCCAACAATTAATTAGTAAAGGCACATATGATTCCTCAGTACCTTGTAATCGCCACTTTAGTACGCCTACGTCTGAACGCAAAGGAAAAGGTTTGCTGGATTGTTTCAACCCGATCTGAAAATACATACAAGTTTTTAGAGATAGACCACGAAACAATGAAAAAAAATTGATGGAATAAAAAAACATTTTAATTTTCAAACGTTAAAAAGGGTAGCGACGACATAACTACTATAACTATTCTGAACACCATTTTTTGTTTGGTCAGTCATGTTTGACTTCTGTTGAATTTTTTTTAAGAGTATGTTTCACTTTTCTGTGTTTATTTTTATATGATTTCATGTTTATTTTACAACTGATTTTATGCAAAGTGTATAACAGGAAAGACAATACGTCAAAACTTGAATCACAGTATTCTGAATCTACACTCGTCGGTCAATGGTTTCTACACTCTTTGCTATACAGAGAAGACCAGGCTACTAGTAACATAGCATGTTGCCGGACGAATTTGCGTTTACCCGATTTGCGTTCGTACTCGAGATTAGCCGGCCACACACACAGGTACTTTTGAACGCTCTTGGCTCCTTACATATCGTGCGCGCAGGTCTAACTCGTATGTTAAGGGGGAAAAATACCCACGCTCTAAATACGCCCGCCTTGCGCGACGTCCAAGATAACAGGTCTACTCTTGTTAAATTATTTCACGTGTGTGGAGCGTTATTATTTGTTCTTTTGCTAAAAAAAATAGCAATTATGGCAGACACAAGATTTTGGAGTAAGGAGATTTTAACCCAGTTTATAGAAATAATATAGAAAACATCCAGCGCTCTGGATAATAAAAAGCCAGGATTATACCAATAAAAATCTGAAAGACAAAGGTCACCGTGAATTAATTGAGTTGTGTAAGCAAGTTATAGAAAACCCTGATAAGAATTTTGTTTGTTTTTTATTTCTTTTCTTTAACCAGTTTTTTTTCCATTTCCGTTTATTTATTTCTCTGTCTATGATTCCAATATACGTTACAGCCATTGCTATAATTTTTTTTGTTATTCATTTTCCCCACCTTTGAGCCACACCAAAAATATCAAACACGTTAGAAATCCAGGCTCGCACTAATTTTGACCAGGTATGTCAATATTTATCTCCATAAACACACACTCTTGGTATGTACGTCAAAGACCCTCATCAAAGTACTGCCATTTAATATTTTCGTTAATGGGCAACAGCGTTCTGGGCTCGCCACAGACTTGGCTCGCATTCTTTGCATGGGCCATGCTAAAACCTTCTCCAAAACGCTATGTGTGTGGCAGGCTATCCACTGCCAGGCTATCCACTAGTCGGCTGGTCAGGCAGTACGCAGTTGCAGTTGTGCTTGGACGGGTCGGTCGTGACAGACTAGGAATACGACGCGAGGAGTGCCCAGTATTTATTATTTTCATTTTAAGTGTTTACCTTCACTTAAGGTAACATTTAAAAAACTAAAATATTACTCGAATAAAAAAAAGCTATAACAAGTGTTCAAAAACACCACCTTTTTGTGCTAGACAGAAGCCTAGGCGGTCGTAAAATCCCCGTCTGACATTGGCTAACATATTAGGGCTAATAGTTTGGAAAGCCTCTCGTATTTTTACTTGAATCTCATCCAGATTATTAGCCCTATTATGACCATACACTTTGGATTTTACATAACCAAAAATAAATCATTGGGAGAAAGATCTGGTGATCTAGCGGGCCACAAAATAGTTCTATGTCCACTAATTAAACGGTTTGACTAAAACGGTAAAGACCTATTTTGGAAGTACCATTTTACAATTTGAATTTTACACGAGAACTGTCGCGAGAATCTATATATTCGTTTTGGCTATTAAAACACGAATAAATACAAATTCTGAAACATTCTTATCACATATCTACCTATTTTTATTTTATGGCATTTTTTCGTCTGTTTTTTATCCGGCGGACGGGTATACGCTAATTCGTCCGGTTCTGCCTATGTTACTACTACGGTGGTATATTGATGGTAGATTAAATTAGCTATTCGTCTATGGTTACACAAGAATATTTAGTTTTAATCATTGGGTCTAATATTAAAATTGCAATATAGGAAAAAATATACCCCAAACTTAAAAAAACGTAAATCGTAAAACTACAAACGCTTTCCAAAATCTAGGAAAGCGCAAATAGGAAAGTTTGGAGCAACAGTTACTAATCAGAAGTTCGCTTTTAATCCACGATGTTGCGCCTAATGAAACTCTAAAACTCTGAAACAAATCTAATTACTTAACAGAATATTACCTGCGAACGCATTTTAAATAACTCCTTGTCAACTTGTGGATGGGTTTGTAATTGCACTCCTCTAGTATCCTTATTTTCTAACTGTACTCGGATTCTGCCTAGTTTTTCATCACCAATATGTAACGTCACCAAACCCAATACTTCAAATTGTTGTACACCACCATCTCTACCCATACGAACAACAAGTTTTTCCTCTAATCTTAAATGTACACTGCAAAAATGTAAACTATATTATAGTAATATTCATAATATTTTACACTTGTATTATTAAAAACAAAAATATATTTTTATAGGGTGTCCCAATTCCCAATATTCAGTTGACATAGAATTACTACGTATTTTTAGAATCAAAATAAGTTCATTGGACACAATTTACCTCTATACAAAAGTACATCGTTTGTCCGTTAGAGGGCATCAAACACATTTTTTCAGATATTTAAAGAACCGTTATTCCGATTTGAATGAAATTTTGGGTGTCTATGTTTTGCTAAGTACTTTTAACATTTATTTGACTTTCACAAAAATCAAGAAAAATTAGGGAAGGGTGAAAACTACCCCCACCCCTACATTAAAATTTATGTGGCGTTTTTTACAAGAGACAAAAAATGTTGTAAATACCAGAGGGCCCATTTTGCGAAAAGAAAATCTGTCGTCGCGTCGTCGGTGCGGAGTTGGAAAATTTTTACATTAAAATTTATGTAGGGGTGGGAGTAGTTTTCACCCATCCCGTATTTTTTCCTAATTTTTGTGAAAGTCAATTGTTAAAACACTTACTAAAACATATTCACCCAAAATCCTATTCAAATCGGAATAACGGTTCTTTAAAAATGTGTTTATAAGTTTGATGCCCTCTAACGGACAAACGAAACACTTTTGTATAGAGGTAAATTGTGTCCAATAAACATATTTTTACTCCAAAAATACGTAGTAGTTCTATGTCCAAGTACGTAGTAGTACTATGTGAAAGTTAATGTTTTTATCGATACAAGTTGATGTGTTCTGTTTTTAAATGCTTACGGCGAATAACATTGCTTGCAAAAACAGACGGATAATTTTCCATTTAAATAAAGAATAGGTGGTATAATTTATTTAACATTTCAATTTAGAAATTGTAGGAGTTTCAAAAAATCAAGATTCAAGTATCAATTTATTTATGTTAATTTTTCAGAGATTCTTTCCACTACCAATATCAGCTTAGATATTAACATTTATTTAATCTTTAGAGGTGTAAGGGATGATGGAAAAATAGAGATATGCCAGTCCTTCTGACAATCTCAACTGTACCTAACCTAACCTACCACCCTGCTAGGTAATTAACGAAGCTCTGTCGACCGAATGACTGCCGGACTAAGCTAATATTAGCCAACAGCTTCGGGTGGAGCAGCTGGTAAGAGGAAAGGGGGCTTCCTTGCCTTGGAATCAAGAAATCTATCCTACAGGCGGATGAACTAATAAATACTGTACATAGATAAATGAAACAAGTTTAGATTGGAAAGTGCCCATAAGGAGAATGTAAACACTATTTGGCGCTATTGTTGCAACGGTCGCGACCCAAAGCTTTTGAAAATTTCGGAGCGGTTCGGCTTTTTCCGGAATTATATCGCCAAATATTATTTCTTCAAATTTATTATTATATATTTTCTTTTAATTTTATAAATAAAATACAGTGTATTGCATACAAGAAACTTTATTTTATATAAGGACATGTATGAAATACCTATGAAACATTGTAAACCTGCGTTATACTACGATCCACGATGGCAGTTGCCACGAGTTTGCAGTTCACAGTTTACAGCACAGCTTTTTGAGTTTTTAATGCCACTTTTTCACAATTATCACGGGTTTGAGTAAATAAAACTTAAATTAAACTCTCAAGATAGCAATATGAGAGCGGTTTAGATTTTGAAATATTTTATAATTTTTGAAGATTCTTGACATAAGATATGGACAAGTAAAAATTATATCTGTTTTTGTTTGCGGTTGTTATTATGAACCGCTATAACAGCGCCAGATCGCGTACAACGGTCGCGACCCAAAACAATTTCGCGACCCAAAATTTTGACGGGCGTTCCAATCTAAATTTATTTCCTTTATCTATGATACTGTAATACTAGTCAATGACATAGAGATAGGGATGTTCGGTCCTAAGATTTCAGGACTGGTATCCGATACTACGAAGTACCAGTCCTACAACCGGTATATCAGTTCCAACAATTAGATCGGTGGGACCGATACTGAACCGGTATACCGGAAGATCGGTCGGACCGATACTGAACCGGTATACCGGAAGATCGGTCGGACCGGAAGACCGGATAAACCGGAATAACAGTTTTGGTTGTTGTGTCAGTGAGCATATACAGCATGATACTGTATTAAAAAATGTAAATATATCAGACAATAATTGTTTCTTTAATTGGTACAGAAGGTTTGTTAACGTTCTTGTCCTCGGAGCCTTCGAGAAGCCGTGACTTTTTAATACGACCGCCCAGTATCCGCCTGTAATACTGCAGTGTTAATGACCAACTCCGTATCTGACGGATTGAAAAAGTTAACATCTTATTTGTTAGTACATATTTGTAATAAAACACTTTTATATAATATAACTGTCGGATTCACACTTGAGAGGCAAAGTATATTTCATTACATTACAGAAAGTATATTTCAAAAATAAATCGAAAAAGTTTTTTTCATTCAGTTGGAAAATAACATTAATTTTTTTTAATACCACATTTAAACATGAAATGCATTTTTCTTTAATACGGCAGATTCTTGTATTTGTATGTGAGTTTTGTTATGAGAAGGCAATAATTAAGCTATAATGATGCTATTATATTCTAATAAGATAAATATTTGTTATATTTATTACTATACAAAAACATATATTATAAAAAACTACTTGGGTACCGAAACATATTCTGCGTTCGAAAAGAAAAATATTGAAGAAAGAAAAATATTATACAAGAAAAATATTGAAGCAAGAAAAGGTGTATCCCGTATGCCACTAGATTCGAGTAGCAATCGGCGCTCACAGATTTCTGGGCCTGAAAGTGAGAAATGTGCGACCGGCAGGTTTGGGTAACGACGAGTAGAAAATGTAGAATATTAAGTAAAATATGTATAAAATCTGAGAACAGGTACAAAATCAATTTTGTATATTTAAAGCCATTTTTTTCAATTTTGAATTTTCTTCCTTGGTATTTTTTTTAATAAGCTTTTCTATAAGCGTTAAAACTGTAATATGTGTGCGGGCGCAATCTATTCTGTGACAATAAAAAATGCAGGTCCGTATTTAATTTATTATTATTTTAATTTTTGTACCAAGTACACGCTCGCCGAGGGGATCCGAAGCGAGACAAGGCGAGTGTGTATTTGGGGCTCTCGTCTTTCCTCGCCTTGGGAGCGCTCGGTCTAGAGGCGGTCTCCAGCACGAGTCAAAGGAGGCGAAAGCAATAGAGAAACTAAATAAAAGAGAGACACAATAGATTTTATATTTCTCTATGGTGAAGTAAGTAGGAGATCCCGCGAAAATGAACACGGTGCTCTCGGGAGATCTCGGCATTCCTTAATTCGTCTTCTCAACTGCCTTTGATTTGATGCCTATTTTAGGTATTTACATTATTTAATACAGTGGATAAACGATTTTAGTCAAAACACCGAAAAATCTGTAAGAGAACTGTAAAAATATCTTTAATAGTCACTTTCCGGGCCGTTTAAGAAAGAAAAACACGTCTATTAAAAGTTATGCACGAGATTTTCATTCAGTTTGATGGAAAGTCTTCAAAGGCATATGTATGACTGCCAACCTAATATAAACACCCATTAGTTTCCATAAGTATCTACGTTTATTTTAATAATTGAGAAGCCATCAAACAAAACGAAATAAATACATTTTGAGATATTAGCAAAAAACGTGTCGTTATTGGTATAAACCGTCGTTATTGCGTCTTTTAAACAAAAAAATATAATGTACGTTAAAGGTATTTTGTTACAGACTTTCTAGACACTATTTTCGCTTTTTTCTCATCATTAACATAAGAATTATTACTCTAATTAAAAAATTATTGATTAATCTCTTTTATCCTCAGTTAAACATAAAGATTTATTTTTTATAATGTAAAATAGTTTGTTTTAATATTATTAGGTAAAATAGCAAATATTTTACGTTTATGCAGCATTATGTTGTTTTTTTATTTAATCTATTGATTCTTTTATTAATTTTTTTAGTAAACCTGACCTCGGCAACATAAAGTCAAAATACAGTTTGTGTTTCGATCCAAGTTACGTCATCATTTTCAACGTCGTATTGGTTTTCATGATTTTTTTCGTATTGGTTTTCATGATAATCTGTGACGTAACAGCCAAGGATCAAAAAAATAAAGCGTAGATGAGTACGCGTCTATAAAATACCAGAAATACAATTTAAACAAAACTAATCACAGGTGGATTTATCCCTTTTCTGTTTGAAACTAATATATGCAATTTGATTTTGTGGATTTCCCTGTTTTTATTTTATTTTCTCGACTTTCAGGTTGGTTATAAATGGGATTTAAGAAAAAATGTTGCCCAAATTTTTCCGAAAGTTGAGCGCCTGATTAAACTGTGTTTTTGCGCTGTGTCGGGGTGTCTCGCTAGACCTCGAATTTTTTGTGGCGCCTCGGGTCCCCTCGGCGAGTTTGTACTTCTAACAAAAAAATACTATCAGATACCTAATAAAGTGGCTATGAGAATATGCAACTGTTATGATTAAAGTACTAAATAAATAAGAATAAGTACTAACTGTTGTGATTAAAGTATTTGGGAAATAAATATTAACTGAATAAACGGCTTTCAATATACAAAACTAATTTTCTAAGTCTGGACCTGTAAAAAATGTAGAAAATTAGTTGGTGTAGAAAACTATTTTCTACGTGTAGAAAATACGGTAAATATATCAAATTTTCTACCTACCCAACTCTGGCGAGCGGCCACGCTAGGTTAGACAAAAGCCTGGCGCGGAAACTATGCGACCAATCCATAATAAGAAAAAATCATTAAATTAACAACATGGAATGTTCAAAAATTATATCAGGCTGGTAAACTGAAAAATGCAGTATTGAAAATGAACAGACTTCAGATCGATGTCTTAAGCATGAATGAAATCAGATTGTCTGGAAATGGAATAACTAAAATAGATTGTGCAGTAATATATTACACTGATTGAAATAGTGGTAAGGAACCTTTAACTGGTGGTCTTCTTCTTCTTACAGTGCCATACTCTATATAGAGCGTCGGCTACCTCTTGCATGTACAAGGTGTCCCACTAAGAATAACTCTCGGCTGTATCTCGGAAAGTATTAGCCGAAGGACTTACGGAAAAAAATATTTATAACTAAAGGGGCTATGAGAAATTGCTGGAAATTATTTACAAGTTTGTAAAACGGCCACTAGGGGGCGCAACTGCTATGGAAAATAAGAAAATAGAATTTTTATGGAAAATTGCCTAGATAATGGGTACTATAAATTATAGCTTCATAATTTTCAGTAAATTTTGGATTTTTTTTGTTAAACCAATTTCCTCTATGTGCTAAAATAAAGTGGTGGGGGAAGGTTAGATCTATCTTTATTTAAATGTTAATAACTCCGGACTAGATGATCAGAATCCAACAAACGAGGGCTCCTTTAAAAGAGCGTTTCTTACTCTATATCATACCATAAAAATAATAATAATAAGGTTTTGAATCTAGACGCTAGGGGGCGCTTTCTTACAATTTAACAAACATAGCGCGATTTTTCAAAAAAGTTAAATACGATAGTATATGTAATTTTAGCTAATAGTAAAGAGTAGTAAAAGTATCTTGATATCTTCTTTCAAACCGAAGATATTAGCAAAATTATAATAAATACCAAAAAATAAGCCCATTACAACTTAATTACCTTATTTTTTACAACACGGTATGAGGAGCCCTCTTGATTATGCCCATTCTAACAAAAAAGTAAGATAGAAACAGTTGGTTTATCTTAAAATCGACGAAATACCAGAATACCATAATACCAGATGTATTAATATCTAATAATTAAGATATTAATAACAGTGAACATGAATCGATGATTCAGTGAAGTCATGGTAAGCTTTGGAAAAAAGTTGCTTTTGACGTAATAGTATAAACGTCAAATTTTTATTAGACCTAACCTTCCCCCACCACTTTATTTTAGCAGATAGGGGAAAATAATAATAATACTAACGGAACAGCGGATTTATTCCTCGAAACTGAAGGCTTTATGTTATCAATCCAGGACGAGGTCATAGCTACGAGGAACTACAGAAAATTCATCCTAAAAGAACCGAATGTAGAAGATCAATACCGGAGATGTCATGAACCTGGTGAAACTATCCAGCACGTGACAGCTGGATGTCGAGTACTAGCTCCAACCTCCTACCTCCAAAGACACGACCAAGTAGCGAAAATCATTCATCAAAAGTTAGCAACCCTTTGTCATTTAAAAGAAGATATTACACCTTATTACAGATATGAACCTGAAAATATGTTAGAAAATGCCCACTTTAAACTCTACTGGAAAAGAAGTATACTTACTGACAAAACAACTCCGCATAACAAACCAGACCTAACATTCACCATAAAAGAGAGGGCATTAACTTACCTTATAGATGTCGGGATTCCTAACACCCATAATCTGCAGTCTACATGGAGTGAGAAGTTAAATAAATATTAGGCACTAGCTGAACAAGTTAAAAGCTTATAGAAGCAAAACGAAGTGAATATTGTACCCATTATAATTTCATCAACGGGCGTAATACCAAAAGCTCTCCACCATAGTTTAAAAAAGTAAGATCTTCCACCGTTACTCTATATACAACTCCAGAAGGCTGTTGTTCTTCAAACAGCAGCAATAGTAAGACGACACCTTAAACTTTAATAAACCAATAGAGCGTTAGAAACTTGCATCACCGCCGTTTCTTACATATTATACCGTATAAAAATACGTGCGCAAACGATAAAATGGTTCTAATAAAAAAAAGTCCAAAATTTACTGAATATTATGAAGCTGTTATTTATAGTACCCATTATCTAGACAAAATTCTGTAAAAATTCTATTTTCTTATTTTCCATAGCAGTTTCGCCCTCTAGCGGCCGTTTTACAAACTTGAAAATAATTTCCAGCAATTTCTCCTAGCCCCTTTAGTTATAAATATTTTTTTCCATAGGCCCTACGCCTAATACTTTCTAAGATACAGCCGAGGGCTATTCTTAGTGGGACACCCTGTACATACTTGTGATGTGTGTCATCAGTGTTTCACAAGTACACGGGACCCAAGGATACCACGGGACCTACAGTTTATCGCCGAATCCGAACGGCACTATTTGAGAGGCTGTACAAGGCAAATATACTCAAGGTGGTTTGCCATGGCTGGGATACTTAAATGGAAATGACGGTTCATTAAAAATAGTTTTTCCTCCAAGATGCAGAGGCGCAAAATATCAAAACTGTCAATATTAACAATGCAAATGTCAATATCTGACAATAATAAAATTTGATTTTTAACTGTCACTCAGAGACGCTTTTGTTATAATTTTACGGTTTGATTTGTCGAATTATTGTAAAATTAAATTCCTTCAGAGTTTTTGCCAGTATTCTGTTTTAGACAATGTTTTTTAAAAATGGTGGGACAATTTGTGTTTTGTATAGACTCTTTATTATTTTTATCATGGAGTTTAATTGTTGTACACTTGGTTTCCGAAGGATACAATGGTAAGTAAATTAAACATATCTACTTACAGTTATAGATTTTTTAAATTAGTACTGCTAATAAATGCTACTTGCTAAGCAGTTATTTAATTTTTTTTACGGTGCATGTAAGGAATTAAGTACGCGCGTTGTGTTATATTAGCATGATTAGCAGATTATTACATCTAATTTAATTTGTTTTTATTATTTCAGGTCTCAAACGGAAACAAACTGGGAATCTTGCCTACACCAAAATTATATAGCCGTTTCCAATTCACTTCAAAGGGATTAACAAAGGGAGGAAAATGATGTAAAACTGCCTGCTATTTGCTGAAAACCGCCAAAGATTAAATTATAACTGTAACAACTTAATATATATACTATTTCTAGTCTTTTTAATATATTTTTTAATTAATATCCGACATATAAGAACACTTTGTATGCTTTTAATTAAGTTGATTTATCGTTTATAATATGTTCGACCTAATTAAAAGCACACAAAGTGTTCTTACATGTATATCTAAATTTATTTTAAATTAACTAAAACAACCCCCCCTCCCCGCACCCCTCTCTTCCGTTAGTATTTCTTCCTCCGACTACCAGAGGCGCTCTTGTATAATAAAATTGAAATGTATTATAAGTTGCCTATCTATTTAATAGTATAAGTCTTTTATCTATGGTGGTTTGCCATTGCCTTCCTTGAGGTGGCGGCTCGTTGGTCGCTCTATTTAGATAAATAAATATTTTTATTTAAATAAATAAAGCGATCGTACTGGCTGGGGATCGAACCCCGTACCTTCTGCTCCGCAGATCGACACACTACCGCTGGAGCTACGACCGGCCACCAATGGTGGTAAAGAAGACCTAAATCATCGACATGGGACTGCTATAATGTGTAAATAATTTCGTACCGTACTTTGAAAAATGTGCTGTCTTACAACTGCATGGTCACCCATCTAACATCAATATCATACAAGTTTACACACTGACACCTGATAAAACTGAAGACAGCGTCTCAGCATGAAAAACTGTTTAACTTGATTGATAACATCTATTAAATATTACAACCAAGTTTTAAGAATTGGCAAGCCTCTATTTTAAATCAACAGCAATTTTTATATTTTCAATTGAAACTATTTTATTATTTAACATTAGAATGTTTCTGTAGATCTCTCAACAGATCATTTAGGTATACCTTTACATAATGAGTAATACTTACTCGTTAATGTCGGATTTAATCTGTGGAGTTTTAGAACCTGTCTGGGAAACGCTGTTAGAAATAGGTGTAACTACTTTCTCTCCTTCCGATTTTAATTGATCTACAAATGATTCCACATCTCGACCTTTTCCTCCTAACTTCATGCCACGAGGTTTTCTAAAATAAAGTGAATAAATGTGAATAAATGACAAATGAAAGTTTAAATATTATAAATTATGAATTAGAAATTTAAACAATTAACATATAATTCTCCAGATAATCTTGTATTAAAAATTTTCGACAGATTTCCAATTAAAATTAAAATGTGTACATTATTAAATATTTTTATGAGTTAAAAGAATTTTATTATATATGATTTAGGGAAATTTTATGATTAATGTATGTATGCATTATTTGTTAATTTAGTTCTTTTAGGTATTTTCATTTTAATTTCTTATTGTTGACTCTTAATCTGTAGTTTATATTAACATGTATTATACATTTCAATATTCATTTTTGAATAGTAAGCGTTCTTATACTTACTGTGTAGGTGTATATACTGGTGGTTTAACATCATTTACAAGTAAATCATTTGGAGCAGGTGATGAATAGGTATTTGTATTAGCTCCAAATCCGCCACTACTTCCATATGATGGTTTGATACCTCTCTTAACAGCTTCAATTTTCTGTCTTTGCAACTCTTTAGCTTTTTCCCTCATTTTTAGTTTTGCTTCCCTCTCTTGAGTCTATATAACATTATTACATTCAATTATTAATACTCAAAGTAATTCTCTACAAATATTGAAAATTGTAATTTTTTTACAAAAATTTGTATATTCTTTTATTTTGCAGCTGTAGATTTCAAACCTGAAATTTTTTGGATGTCACCAGCTATTACATTACGTGCGAGGAAGTCCAATATCGTTGTTGTTGACAAAGATATAAAAAAAGTTTTATGCAGATGTTGCATGATTTATAATGGTGCATATTCTAAAAATATTTTCTTGTATACAGGGTGCCCACAAAAAAGTGATGATAAAGTATTAAGTTTTTTAAATTGCACCCCAATTTTTCTATACATTCGGATTTTTATTCGGATGAATTAGTGTTCAGCATAAAATACTGTACACTATTTTTATTTGAAGCACTCCTGCGGTGTTGCCATTCTATTTCTTATTTACTAAAACTTTGGCTAAAAACACTATATCCAAAAAGTGGTTAAAACTAGAGTGAATATAACTTTATTAGGCATTCCAAACCACGTGACTTTAAAATGGCGGCCAGGGGCAAGGTCAATGAAGCCTATCAGCTGTTCTGTCATAATTCTATGAATTGAGGTTTTAGTTTTGTATTCAGTTTATATTTTTTTAATAATAGGTATAGGTACATACCTATTGGGCCATCAGTATGTGTAAAAAGTAATAGAAATAAATAAAAAGTATCTTTCTTATTGTTTATTTGACAATTGTATATTTTTGTTAAGGAGTATAACAGTATATACTACATATTCGTTTATTACGATATATAAACAATAAGCTAATTTTGCAATTTACACTCGTGAAAATAAGAATTACAATATAATGTTATAAATAAATAAATATTTGAGTAACAATCAATAATACATTGCGATTCCTAAATGCCATTTTAAAACAATATGTTATATTTTTTTAGAGCATCGTAGATGGATTGTACATTCTATTTATAAGGTTTTATACCTTTTGTAATAAAAGACACTTTAAAACGATAAGCCAAATCTTTTAAACTTGCTTAGAGCTGTCGTTTGTGTAAACGGTATGTAATCTGCAATAAGGCAAAATTACTAATTTTAGATGTTGCAAAACTAAGCTACTCAAATTTGTTGCATAAGTCATCCATCGTGATGTATGTTTGTACACTAAAACTGTGTTAATTCTGTTACATCTGTTTCAATCACCCAATGAGGTTCTGCTTCAGACGTGTTAAGAATGGCCTATAATAAATATCAAAATTAGTATATTTTAAAATCTGAACAGTTGTCAGTAATCTCACTTCATATTGTACTTTTCTTCTTTAGTCAGCCCTTAGTTTTCTCTCAATATCATCCTTTTCTCAGATTTGTACAATTATGACCCATGTCTTGTGGCGGAACCAACTCAATCTGGATGATTTTCATCTTCTTAAACTAACAAGTTTTCCTAGAAATAACAATTATAAACTTGTAATATTCCACCATTATTAAAACAGAAATATCAATAAAGAATTTTTGATTACAGACCTGTTAGAAAGTGTTTGCTACACACCCTCTGATTTTTATTATAAACCACATATTAAATCATCTCCTTTTATAGCTGCCATCCAAAGAGAACGACGATTCTTGGACAATTAATTTTGTTCTGTTAAGAAGCGGTGATTTGTGGTCGTAGGGACACAATAAAAATATAAATTGTCTTTTATTTGCTCGACTTCCGACACGTAATCGGCATCTAACAAAACGTCTTCAAATATTATGTTTCTCGCAGAATTTATATCCTGGCTATCAAAATTCACTATAAACGTGTTAACAACTAACTACTGAGGCACAATATGAACTGAAAAACACTATAAAATGTATTAAATATAACTTAGCTCTGGTTTGACTACCACAAGGCCAAATGTAAATACAGCCATGTGTGCCCCCAGCGGCCATATTGGATCGATTTTGACAGGTCGTTGGAATGCCTAATTAATACTTAGTTATATTTTCCTAAACAACAAGGATAATAGAATAATGTGAGATGTTTTAAGAAAATATATCAGGAATTTCTATATTTTCCAGTCAACTTTACATTAAGTGTATTTACATTTTGTTTAGTGATTTCCTAAATAAAATAGTATTGGTTAGAGAGGGTGTACTTATTATTATGTTTAAACCAAGTTAAAGGTATAAAATACAATACATATAATAGCACCACCACTGGATATTTCAATACTTGTCAATATTTTGACTGTTTCCATGGAGGGACATAAAATTGGGACCAACTTGCTGGTAATTCACACAGAAGTTTTTACTTATGTGGCTTAAGTATAGTCTAACATGTAACTGTAACAGAAATCTTAAACTAAATAAATAAAAGATATGGCTGCCAGCAAAAAACTCCTTTTTTGTCACTAAGTTTACAAAAAACTAAATATTTAATTTTTTTTTTAAATATGGTAACAGACCGCCCATAAACATTCAGAATCATAATCTGAGTACAAAATAGAATGTATATCTCGATGTATACAAATTTTCATGAAAAATAACAATTTACAATATACTTAACTAACATATTAAAATTTTTATGTACATATGTATGTTTGATGTAATTTGTGAAAAATAAAATATCATACCTGTCTTACAGCTTGATACACCCTCTCTTCGTGAGAATCCATTTCAACAAAGGTTCTTATTTGTGATAAATTAACACTTTCTCTATATCCTAGTGCAACTATTTCATCAAAAGCAAAAATTAAATTAAATGCATTATCTATAATTTCATTTTCTTCTAGAGATTTACAGTATTCTGGAATCTAAAATTGTATGTCTTTATTAGAGCAATTAAATACCTTAGTAATTTAGCATACAATTCTGGCAAAAAGTCGAAGAGTCTCTAAATCTTCCAATATGTTACTAGCTCTTGTAGTAATTAGTAACATGTAGAGTCTCTCAATAGGTTGATATACATAACGAACTGAATCAGTTTCTACAAATGTATGCTGTGTTCCAGTGGGTATTAATTTGGGAAAAGCTGCCAGTAATCCTTCTATACGTGCCTTAGTCATTTCCACAAATTGTCGAGACACTATTGCTAAAAATTATGTTTCAAATGATTACATATAATAATTTTATTAATCCCAACAATTAAATTAATTACTATAGAATTCAGTCAAGTGATAGATTTAAAATCCTATTGGATAAAATCCTAATCTACCCATTGCAACACAACCATATAAAACATAATCGTAAACAATATACGGGTAATTCTAAATGTTTATATAAATATAATCTACATTATTAATAATGCTGTATGTATGTGCCTTACAAATTGCAAAATTTATGAAAAAGAACAAATTTTACTCACTTTTGCCTGCTTTTGTGCAGACGGCTGCAGCGATTAGCACCTAAAATAAAGTGTAAATAGTATCAAATTCTAGCGCTGTTTGTAGAGAAAATTGGATCAAAAAATACAGCCACTATAATTACCTACCATTTTTCGAATTAAATGTTAATTCATCTGAAAAAAACCATTTACACCTTCCCAAAAATACATAAGAATAGATGACGTTGACATTCATATAACATGGTTCATTTCGTATGACGTGACAAATCATTGAAAAATGTCATAACTTATTTCTTGATCTATGGTCATTCCAACTAGTACGATTACCATATATAAAATAAATAACAAAGTTACTATTAGTTATTGAAATTGTTTCTCTGAGGTATATTACAGCTCCATAGAAAAAGAAATTTAAAAGGTTAGGTTGATTTGACTGAGACAAATTTTAATGATAAAAATTATCGATATTATTAAGCGGTCCCTAATTTGACTCATTTCAACTTGTCATCGTAGTCATCTGTGGCTACGGGCAGCTACGGGCAGATGATGTTAAAAATCATTTTTGTTGTCATTTTCTTGTTTGTTTACATTTTAGTCTGATTTTAGTCGTTTTTTCCCACGTTTTTTCCTCAGGTTACTTATTTTTTGTCGTAATACATAATTATTGTGTTTCTTGTTTGAACCTTTATGGTCTGATCTAATATAACAATACCAGTAAAACACAATTTATACCTGCAGAGATACATCAAACTAAACCGGGTTAAAAAGTGTGTAGAGAACTTTGTAGAGAAGTATGTCCAGTGCTTTCAGTTTCGCGCCGATTTAAATACCTAATTTCTTTAATAATTGCATTACCAAATTGATTTTTTACTTTTTAGGGATAATTAATATACTGTAATTTGAAATGTGACATTTGCTTAAAAATAAATATGAGTTATTTAAATCGTATAATTCTCCTCATTGATATGGATTGTTTTTACTGTCAGGTAGAAGAGAAATTAAATCCAAAATTGAAAGATAAACCGATAGCTGTTGTACAGGCTAATGAGTGGAGAGGTGGAGGGTAAGTTAATAAAACATCGGTTTAGCAAGAGTACCTATACATAGTCTGCCCAATGAGGGTACACCTGACAGTTGTGCCTGTTAATGTGCAGTACAGTACAAGGAATCTAATCTTATTCGAATACTCATGCTTTATGGCTCCTCTATATGTAGCTAATGTGTTGGCCACTGCATTGTCCAATATGCCGGCGCACATATTGGCCAGGCCTTTCTACACGTTGGCCAGTGCATTTAGTGAACTGAAAATCAGTTTGTCTCGACTCTGGCTAAGATAAGAAGTGGATATCCGGACGGTAGTGGCTGCGACAATTTATTTAGTCAGTGCTTATAGGTACTATCTCAGTGTGTACCATAACAAAGTTATAATATTCTATTCGGAATGTCATTTTCTATCGAATAAAGTAAAGAAATATTGAGGGTGCCATTTAAAAATTGAAAGTTTTTCGTTTCCGGTGAAACAGGAAGTGACCGAAGACAATTGAATACATCATTCAATCCTAATTTATTTTATATACTACATAACATACCAAATCTCGTTTTTTTTTATCTGAAACGATAAAAAAGTTATAGGGGTGAGCCACTTTTGAGACGCACCCGGTATGGAACTCGGGGAGCGGGAAACGACACTAGTCGTAAAAATACCTGCTTGTGTGTGTATGTATGTAAAATTAAATCCCTCACAGTCAACTGTTGTATTGATCAGTATCAGTAGTGGGCAACAAGACAAAAACGGTATTTTTGTGGTTTGATTGGTCGGGATTATCCGTGACTTTGCCACTCATTAGACATTATTAAATACACTAAATACAGGGTGTCAGTGGCGTAACTATAATTTTTTCGCCCCCACGCAACTTTTGGTGATTGGGCCCTTGGCCTTATTGGGTCGTAGTCACATCTCAATTTTTAACTGGGTATCCCAATATTCCGTACACATTGAACTAGTTTGCTTTATTTATTTGGTTTGGTTTGGTTGCCTGGCCGCAAAACAATTTATTTTAGTAAAATATTTTACAGTTAGAGTTGGTTTGGCTTGGTTTGGTTTGTTGGTTCATTTTTTTCGAAAATTTCTCAGTTACTTTGTTGAATATTTTAGTTTCTACGATACTACAGCTCTACTTAACCGACGCATGTTCGAAAGATGGGTACTTTCCATACTTTGACGCTCAAATTTTTCGCTTTTGGTGCACTCCTGGAATCGATTTTTGGTTTATATTTTCTTGATTCCGAGGCTATTATTTGGGTCCTATAAAAGTTCATAAATAAATTTATAGTTTCTTTTTTGCGACGTCCGGATTTTGACCGGATTTCAGCATTCATTTGTTCTGAGTTCACTTGTTCGGATATTCCAAAAGTCTTTATGGAAACCCTAAATTTACCTCTTGCTTAGTTTATCAGTTAGAGGGCATTAAACATTAAAAAATAAACACAGTTTTTAAGATATTTTAAGAACCGATATTCCGATTTGAACTAGATTTGGTGTTTCTATCTTTTACTAAGGGTGGTTGCAACGACGCGACGTCCCGTAATCCTGCTGTTAAAGCATAACTGGTTTTTATATATAAAAATCAATTGTTTTGTTTTAACAGCAGGATTACGGGACGTCGTTGCAGCCACCCTTAGTCCTCTAATATTTGACTGTCAAAAAAATCAAGAAAAAGTACGGAATGGGTAAAAACTACCCCCATCACTACATAAATTTTAGTACAAAAGTTTTCGAACTGAACCGACAACTGATTTTTTTTTGGTAAAATCACCCTTTTAGTATATACTACTTTATGTCTCTTAAGAAAATGCCACCACTCATACTTTTTGAGGAAAAAAAAATATGTAAGCGCATAAAATATAGTATGCATTAATAATATATTTGGCAAAAATATGAAATTTTATATTAGTTTCAATCACGAATAATAGTCTAAGAGCTAGCAACGTTTTCGAGAAAGTATTTTAAGACGTCTGGCTCTTTGATATATCTTTTACTATGCTCTCTGGAACAGCAAGCGGCTCGTCTGGCTGCCGATACCCGTTGCGTTCACTACTGCGCATTGGAAGAAGATCCTATATTTTTTATTAATTTAGTCCTATAAATTATAGTATTGAATTTAAAACGAACATCCGAACATGTCTCTATAGCGCAGTGCGTAGAGTTTTCCACCACGAACCGATGATTCAGAGTTCGAATCCGGGTCAGGGCAAAGACTTTTATTTTATTTTCGTTTATATTCTGATAGTAAAGTATTGAATAATTCTGGTAATTCAAAAAAAAAACAAATATTTAATACTTTACTATCAGAATATAAACGAAAATAAAATAAAAAAGTATTTGCCCTGACCCGGATTCGAACTCTGAATCGTCGGTTCGTCGTCGGAAACTCTACGCACTGCGCTATGGATTCGATTTGTTCGATTTATATTCAATACTAGCGTGTACCAGCGACTTCGTTCGCGTCGAATTAATCATTTGTGGTGATGATAAAGCAAAGCAAGAATTTCCATTAACATACAAACTGGATAAAATTTTCTCACATTTACGTCAGCATGAGAAAAAACAATATGGCGATATTATTATATAACTTGGTGATATTTGAGGGGTAGTTTCATCTCGTTGGAATTTGACTTTCGAAAAATCCGTTTGCCAAAAATAAGCTTTTTACGTCAATCGTGGTTAAGAAATTACCCATCTTTTTGGAACACCCTGTACGATTTTTTAAAAAATTTCAAAAACCAAATAAATTATGCTTGTCCAAGCGTTTTCCCGAAAGACTAACCGTTTTTTAAATAACAAATATTGTAATATTAGAGGGACGTTTTCACCCTCTTGGAATTTGAGATTCGAGAAACCCCTCCTAATCGAACCTCTACACCCCACAGTCAGTCCGTTTGCCAAAAATCATCTTTAAACATCAAGCAGTTTAAGCAGAATCGTGATTACTCAATGGTCATATTTTATGAAACACCCTGTATAAATTTATAAAAAATCTTAAAATATGTAAAACAACAAAATAAAATATACGTGTTTAAGAGTTTTTCCGAAAAACTTAATTAAAAATTAATATTTGAGGGATAGTTTCACTCCCTTAGAGCACACACACCGGCAAAATCGGTGCCGGAGTCGGCGCCGGCTTTGCACCCGTTACGACAGTTGTATTTAATTCTATTGTATTTGCCGGTCCCCGACTATTTTACCGGATCGGAGTATATGTGCAAGATCTAATTTATTTATATTGCAATCGACTTCAGGTCCGGCACCGGTACCGATTTTGCCGGCGTGCGTGTAAACGCCCTTATTAGAGTTCGAGTTTCGAAAAATCCCTTCTTATCGAACCTTTACACTCTAAAGTCAATCTGTTTTCCAAAAATCAGCTTTTTACGTCAAGCGCTTTAAGCAGGATCGTGGTTAATCAATGACCAGATTTTTCGAAACCCTGTATACATTTTAAAAAATCTGTAAAAAAATATGTAAAAAACAAAATAAAATATACGTGTTTAAGCGTTTTTTCGGAAACTTGACCGTTTTTCAAATAAAAAATATTGTAATATTTGAGGGGTGGTTTCACCCTTTTGGAACTGGAATTTCGAAAAATCCCTTCTTATCGAACCTCTACACCCTAGAATCAACCTGTATGCCAAAATTGAGCTTCTTACGTTGAGTGGTTTGAGCAGGATCGTGATTAATCAGTATGTCAGTCACTTAAGGATTTTATATATTAGTATAGACTAGAATTTAAAGGACTAATAAAAATATAGGATCTTCTTTCAATGCGCAGTAGGGAACGCAACGTTTACCGGCAGCCAGACGGGCCGCATACTATTCTAGAGAGCATAGTAAAAGATATATCAAAGAGCCAGACGTCTTAAAATACTTGTTTTTCCGACGTTGCTAGCTCTCGTACTATAATATCTGACAATAAGCTTCATAACTTTTAAATTAACTAACGTATGGATTTATTTTTTTATTGATGCCCTCTAACGGCTAAACGAAGCACTTTTGTATAGGGAGTAAAAATACGTAAGAAAATAATGAGAGTTGTTCTAAGTCCACGGAATATTAGAACTTCCTGTCTGCTTTGGAAAAAAAATTCTCCATATTTTTTTCTCAAAAACTATGCGATGTGGTTTTTTTCAAAAGACAAAAAATGTGATAAATACTAAGAGTTCCATTTTACGGAAAAAACGTCGTCGGTAGAATTGTAAAATATTTTTATTAAAATTATTTAAGTCGGGGTGGGGATAGTTCTCATCCTACCCGTACTTTTTCTCATTTTTTGTGATGGTCAAATGTTAAAGCACGTAGCAAAACCTAGATCAAAACACCAGATCTAGTTCAAATCGGAATATCGGTTCTTAAAATATATATGTTACTGTAAATGTCCGAAATGCCTAGGATAAGCGCGCTAAACCTAGGATTAGATAGAAAATGACACTCTGAATAGAATGACATATCATATGTCAACTTTTGATATTTTCGCATATGGTTTATTTGAAATTATAATATGCGGTTAATAACGACAATTTGACTTGAAATACCAAGTGTGTGGTATCAAATTATTCTTAAAAAATTCTTTTTCCAAATATGCTAATGAGCCACACTCGTTCTGTTTGAAAAAATTGAGATATGATTGAAAATACGATATGGTCATCTTTTAACCGGCCAGGACAAGACACTAAAACATTAGACGATCAAATCCATTTTTCGAAGACTCCTTAATTAGAAATTAGTGTTTTTAACAAAGCCACAGCACTCTAGATTGAAATTTAAAATACACTTTGTTTTTGAGTGAATATGTCAAAAGTTGACATACGGTATGTCATTCGATTCAGGGTGCATCCACACTATCCTAAAAACGGCGTATCGGCGTAACGACGTAACGACCTTGAATAGATTTCCAGTAATTCTATTGGATGAAAAATTCGTCTGTCAGAAATTTTATCTGTCAAATTCATCTGTCAAAAATTTCAGCCAATAGAATTACTGGAAATCGGTTCAAGGTCATTACGCCGATA